AAAAAAAAAGTAGGAATAATGTTGATCAAAACTAATTGATGTCTAAATTTGTGGAAAACACAATAGTCTGTCATTTTATTCTCAGTTGCATGTCAATGAAAAACTACTATGCAATTTTTAAAAAATTAATTTAGGAAAGTGTTGGACCCTGAGTCTCACCTGCTTTCAGGGTGAGATCGCCTCCATCAGGAACCAGCTGCAGGGGAAGGTTGCTGAGATGGAGAACTTTGCTGGTCATTTGGAGGAAATCTTTCTCACTGTGGAGGTAAACCTATATTTCTGCGTGAAAGTTTCATGCAACAGACATCGCAAATGATTTAAAACAAAAACAAATTAGGGGAGTGAGAGCTTCATATGTTATTTCAATCCACACAGGTTTGAAATAACGTGCTGTTGAAACATACACATGACCCTTTTGTTATTATTGGGTTTGACTTTCCTTGGTAAGTTGCAAGTTAAAATGTCTTGGTAAGGGAAATGACTTGGTACCATCTAAATTTAATTTCTAGACATTTAATTTGACTCACAATTTAAATACATTATTTCTGTTTGATTTGCTTTTTTTTTTTTTTTTTTTTTTACAAACTAACCAATGTACCACAGAATCTGTAATCTCAGTGTTATAGATTTTGAAGTAGGTGTTATTTAAGTTATTGCAACTGACTAAATATCTGCGAAATGACCCTTTACGTTTCTGACAAATTAGAGTCCAATTTCAGCAGTGCGCTGTTTCACGACTCACCCTTACTGGGTAAAAGTTTGCCATGAGCAATTTAAATATTCTAGTCTGCCTTGGAATTTGAAATGGCACATTTCTTGAAACCCTGGTCCATCCTCAGTGCACGTAGCAGCAGAACTGAACATGCAGATCAATGTTTTCAGTCTCAAAACTGCATCAGATCGCCTGAATGTTTTGTCCAGGAGAACTTCGGCCGCCAGGAGCAGCACTTGGAGCAGCACTACAACGACGTGCTGCAGACGTTGTCCCAGCGCTACGACGACAGGGAGACGGGACTGCAGGAGGAGAAGAAGAGCAAGCTGGAGTCCCTATACAAGCAGCTGGTGGCCTGTGGGCAGGCGCTGGACACCTCGAAGGAGCTCATCGAGACGGCCCAGGAGGTTTACCGCTGCCAGGACGAGAGGCTTTTCCTAAAGGTAGCTCAACTTGGTTTACTTAGAGATTTTTTTTTTTTGGTTTTTCATACACAAAATAAAACACACCAGTTATGATATTTCAAAATGCAAATGTAAAAAAAATAAAATAAAATCCTGTTTGATAGATTTCTTTTGACTTTTGTTGACAGACAGTTATGCCCATCGTTAAAAGGTAATCGCGAAGCTCCTCTGTGTGTGTGCATGTTGTGACAATAGCAGGGACTGCAGAGTGATTTGGGAGGACCTAGCATCGATATTTTAATGTTCATGCTAAGGTGTGATCCACATGGCATGATGCTTGAACATTCATCTTTGTTTTAAATCTCGTAATTTACCAGAATGACCTGTATGCTTCACTAGAGTCGAGGAGTTTGCCAAGGAGGACATCGACCTCTCGCTGTCGACGAGTCTTGAGTTCAGCACGCCGCTGGCCGACCTGTCAGACGTGAAAACCATGATGGACTCCATCAATGTTGTGCCAGGTCTGAATCATAAATGAATCACCTATTGAAGTAAATCACAAAGATATCGGAATAATGCACAACATAGGAAACTCTGTGATACAGAGATTGCCCAGACAATATACACATCCCATCAAGCATGCCCGTAGCTCCTGCATAAAAAATGATGCGTACCGATTGAAATGTACACCCTTACTAACATTTTTTGAAAGTCTTCCTTTGAAACAAGCCTGTAGGAATTCCCTGGCCTAATACTTGAACTTTCTTCTTGGCAAAAGTGGTACTGCTCATTTAAATTAACGTAAAGTTTACTAGATGAAGCTATTTTGACACGTGTGTTTTTTGGTTGGTGTCTCGATAACAACAGTGGACTGACTTGTGTACTTGCGTCACACAAACAGCTCCGTCTGCACCAGTGATCAACCCGCAGCTGCCCAACTCGGCCACCCAGACCTCCCTGCATGTGTGCTGGAGCTTATTCTCCGACGACACGGTGGAGTACTACGAGCTTTACTACCGACCGGTGCTGGAGGACACGCCGGCAGACAGTACCTGTGCACCGCAGGGTACACTGGATGATGACACCATTACAAATATAGTGTTGTAGAATTGTTGTTTTTTATATATAATATATTTCAGCAACAGTCCAACTAAATGGATGTGTTTTTTTTTTGTTTTTTTTCCAGAAAGCAAGGTAAAAGTGAAGGAGACCCATTGCACTGTGACAGACCTGCTCCACAATGCTCAATATGAGCTCTGGGTGACGGCTACCAACACAACAGGCATCAGCCCAGCGAGTGAGAAGGCCTTGTACATGACGGGTAATTTAGTGCCACAGTTCTCACAACACTATCTATAGGTGTACCGAGAATCATTCACTGCCGCCGCTGCAAATTAGATTTATTGGCAAATTAAACAAAACTGTAAAACCATGTGCTATTATAAGTGCTTTCTTCGAATTAGATAGAAAATGACACTTTCAATGGAAACGGGAGTCTCCAAATTACTCAACCAGTTCATGAAAAGAGTATTTAGCACTTAGTAGAGCAGCCTTTTGCTGTTCTGGCCTGCTGCAAATGGGATTTATAGCCAGGCACCAGCTTCTGGCAGCTTTCCTGAGGACTCTGTGCCTGCTGCTCATACACAAGGGCTTCCAATACACTATTATTTCTGGATTTGTGTGCTGTACCTGCCTTTTTCAAATTCCCAACTCATGAGAGTTCAACACATTCATTGTTCTTGCATTCTAATATTTACCAGAACATCTTGTCCTGAAACCAAGTCTTAGTGGAGCAGGAGCTTCTTAAAAAAGGGAGATGAAATTTCAAATTAAAATTCATATTTATAACAACTGAAGGTAACATAGTTACTTGATTGTGCTACAAATGGCACTATGTGTCTGGAAAATACATAATAGCGCCCCTTAAACTTTTCAAGATGATAATCTCTTCTCTGAATTTCTTGAACTTTGTCATATTTCTAACACTCAGTGAGACGTTGCCATGAACAAAGTGTTCAGTCTCATAAAAACAATCCAAATAATAAAAACCTCTCATTGTTGATATCAATTGTGCCTGAGATCACATCTAGTTTTCTAATTTGTGCTCTGATAAAGAATTATATTCAGTTGGTCGAATAGTTTTGAGGATTTCTTAGTCTGTAAAAGCAAGATTGTTGCATTTGGATACTAGTTTTTTTTAGTATAACTTCAGTTGCAAGTACTCAAGAGGCTCAACACTATTAATGAAATCACAAATCGTTTCTCCGTAGTGCCGTCGCCTCCTGCAATCAAGCAGAGGGAGTGCAGCAGCTGCCCAGAGGCTGCCCTGATCCGATGGGAATCAGGAAACACCAACCCTGTAGACTCCTACATTGTGGAGCTCAGTGAGACGGGAACTGTGGGCGCAGAGAGCAACATTACCGAGTAAGAACCGAGCTATTAATACACCACCTCAGTCTTACTCAATGATTATGTAATGATTTCTTAAGAAAAATAGAAAAAAAATTGCTTAAGGTGTCAGAGGTTTGCAACATACTGCTTGCTCCCTGAGGTATTAGGACTCTTCATCTGCTTTGGTAGACACGAGGCCTGTTGTTGTATCGTCTTCATATAGAGCCAGGGTTGTGCATGCCTGGGATTTTTCCAGGTCCCTTGGTTATAGAGCTGCTGAATCAAGACGTTCTCTGTCCTAGAAAATCTATTCTTAATTTCAGCTCCTGCAGCAGTGTTTGCTTCAGCTGGAAGTGTGTCCTCACACTTAGTCATTTCTTATTTTTCATCAGCTTGCTGCAAAAATACAAACTATTTAAAGCTCCAGATTACAACTCTGAATTTACTCGTTTGGTATTTTACAAAGGATGAGGTGTAGTAAATTTTACCTGGCTGTAAAAAGCAACTACTCGAAAAGTGACTTTTGATTTGAACTTGATTTAAGAAAGAAAAATTATATATATTTTTTCCCTTCATGTGTTGTGTCTAGGTCTATAGTAGCCGTGCCCACCTGTCAGTGTCTGATCCAGCTGCAGGCAGGGCGACAATACCTCATCTCTGTAAGAGCGGTCAACATTGGAGGTCCGAGTGACAGGAGTGATGCTATAACTATCTCCACAACTGGTAAAAACAAAAAAATATCCTTGCTTGCTGATGAAAATCTTGGAGTGGTTTTGACTGGTAGAGGACACAATACTCTGAGCTATTTATTTACCGTATTTAAAAAAACAACCTATATATATATATATATATATATATATATATATATATATATATATATATAAGCTATTAACACCCTAAACTGCCAAACATCTTAACAAAAAAAAAAGTTAAGATGTTGCACTTAACATCATTGCATTTTTGTTTTTTTTTTTCATTTATGTGGTTTCTATTTTTTATTTAAAGATTTTTCTCACTAACATTTTATAGATGCCAGCAGTACAGTTGAACCGTTTGCTATTTTGCATAGAAGGTTTGATCAACCCAGAGTATAAGCGAACCGAGCTGCTGCACAGGACCAACGCACCACTAGGGGGCCCCCAAGAACCCTGAACTTCTCGCACAGAATCACAGAAGAATTCAGACAACATTGCTTCAATACACAAGTTGCTTCTATTCAGTTTATCTATTGGACAAAAACCTGTACAGTTACCTGGTAAAGCAATGGCAAACCAAACTGACTGTATGATAATGTGTTTTGTTGAATCTAGAAAGGTTTTCTGAATTAAAAGGTTTGTTTTTTTTAATGGGCATTTTCTTCCTCTTGTCACTTTTAAATAGTTTATCCTAAGCCATATGGTGAAATGGCTTGGGGTAAACTATTCACTACACCCTTTTACCAGCAGAATGGGAAGCCACTATGATGAAGATAATACCTGAAAAATATGCTTAATTGATCAGAAGTGTAAATCAGTTTGGCAAACAGAAAAAAATATAAATTTGTTTAAAAAATTGTATCCATAAAATGTTTAGGGAGCTCAAGCCCAAGCAGAGTTATTTAGCTTTAAATTCTGTCCATCTGCCATCAAGTTGCTATGTTAGGTTACATCTCAGTCTAGCACTCCATGAAATTAAACTCTATTGGATAGGCAGTGCTAAAACAAGGCATTTTAAAATAGATCTATTAGAAAACACAGTCAGTTATAATGGCCTTGGTTGGAAATGGAGCCTCAAGTTTGTAGATATTCTAACAAGAAATCCCTTGTGTTATTGTGTGGTGACTGAACAGGCACCTTCTTCTACCTCCTGGAGGACACCGCTCATCCCTGTCTCTCCATGTCAGAAGATGGCTTCACTATATTCTATGGAGATGAGGAGTTGCCCATAACTGCAATGGCTTTTGAGGACAACACTTTCACAAGGTAAAGTGTCCCAACAGCTGCTTAGTTCGACAAAGCGTCATTGAAACATCCAGCTGGACCTTTAATTTTAAGTATATATATATATATATGTGTGTGTGTGTGTGTGTGCTTATGTGCAGATGTGTAGCCATTTTGGGGGATCTGATTCCAGTGCGAGGCAGGCACTACTGGGAAGTCGAGGTGGACGATGAGACCGAGTTTCGTGTCGGAGTTGCATACGAAGACACGGAGAGGGACGGGTACCTTGGTGCCAACGGTAGCTCCTGGTGTATGAGACACATTCGCACCCCGTCCAGGTAAACGGTGCACAACTCCAGTGCGTCTCGTTACATCCACGGGAAAATTAGGTCACCGATAGCATTTTGTTTAAATCAAGAAATGTTCTTAGTTTTGATGCACGTTTTCTGAATTGCCGTTTGGCTTAAGTCAAACATTTCCTTTGTTCTGGTGTCCAAATAATTACACTTAGACTCAACTGCACAAGTCCTGGTCTTTGTCCTTTCTAACATTAGGTTAGCCCTCATGTTTTTCTCAAGAGAACTGGGTTTCCTCCTTGAACGGACGCATCGTAAAAGTTAAACCCAAAACAGTAGCAGGAACTTTCTGTAGACCGTTTAAGAATGCCGAGTCATGATGTTCATCATGTGCTTCTGAACCGACTAACTTGTGTGATTTTAGAAGTATTTTGGTCAGTTTTTGTTTATTGTCAAATTTATATTTCTCGTCCACAGATTTTTGTAGGGCATTACAATTTTTCCACCACTGTGCATACCAGGTGCTTTGGTGGAATGTTTAAGTGTAAAACCATTTAATAGTCTGCTCAGAAATGTATTCCTTACTTTTATCTGGGCTCTTAATTTGCAATCCGATCAATTGTCGAAGTATGGCAATTTTCCAACTGCAGCACAAGCAGAGGAAAATTAAACTGGCTCTCATTTTAACAGTACAAAAGCCCGAGCAGATTTGTTTTCATCCACCATCAGAATTAACGTGCTGATCCTGGAAACTGGGCCAGGACTGTATTTTTAGCATTTAAAATTCCCTTTCCTAAGCAAAATACAAAAACATGCATCAGCCCTGTGAAAGCCTGAGCTCAAAGGAACTACCATGAAATATCTTGTCATGCGTTTCTATAGCAACTGTATTTAATACAAGTCAGGGCGTTTGTCACATTTATCGAGTCATTCATATCAAGCTTCAAATGTGATTCCCCATTGCGGGCAGCTTGTTCATTCTGCCTACGCAAACCTTTAAGTCACATTTCTTATTTTCTTTCATCGGCAGCCATTCGGGTATCGGTTGCTGGCTCGGTCTTGTGCTTTCCCAGAGGCAGGCGGCCAGCCACGTGTGAGAGAAAACAGAACTCTTCCTTCTAATATCGCATTGTCCTCTTTACTTTTAGACATAAATACGAGTTCCTGCATAACGGCTGGAGTCCAGACTTGAGGATCACAGTGCATCCAGTGCGTATCGGAGTGGCTCTCGACTACGACAGGGGAACTCTGAGCTTCTTCAATGCTAATCTGGAGCAACATCTGCATACCTTCCACTGTCGCTTTCACAATTACGTCCACCCCTGTTTCAGCCTGGACAACCCAGGAGCGCTTACTGTACATAATGGCATACAAGCTCCTGACTACACTTTCATCTGACAGGAAGTCGGTGTTAATGAGGTCATAAACAGAACTAATAATTAACCTCAGTTTTCATTATCGTGACATTAAATGTTACAACAAAAAAATCATTTACAGTGTGAAAGTTCAGACAGAAACGCATCAATAAAAATATACTTTCTGAAGTTGTTTTATTATAGTATTCCATGGGAACAGGCATACACCATTTTCCAAGATGAGAAAAAGGTTTCACTGAAGTTTATATGTATTTAAACAATCTGCGATTGCAGCAAGGCCAGATGTCGACGCTCAAAATGGGACTTTATTAACAAAAGTTGGAGGGAAAAAAAAAAAAAAACAAAAAGAAGAAAGTTTCTCTTTATTATACAGCTGTATTCACATGTTAGAGAAGTCCGCCCTGTGTACCTCCATACTTTGAGACGTGTGTAATGACTGGGATTTAATACCATTTGTTCTGTGTTAAAAGTTGATGAGGGCAACATTTAGTCAGATTAAAGTGAAAAAAGTTGAACTTTTTACAAAAGCTCAAATGACATTTGACTACAAGCACCTGGTTGTTGGCTTCTGTATTTACATCAGCTTAAACTATTTTAGACTAAAGAATATATCTAAACAAGTTTAACCTTACTTGTGCAAGAGCATCTGGAGACAAACAAAAACCTAAACTTAAACATGGATGGACAAAGGAAATAAGAACCTGTTTACACTAGTAAAGCGCTTTAAATTCACTTTAAATTCACAAATTTAAAGTGTGTAAATCTGTTAATTTACACACTTTAATCAATATAGCACATACTGTATGTTACCATCTTAAACCCGTCAGGTTTAGGTTTATTTGTATGTATGGAAAGTTTTATCTGAATTTTGGTAAGAGCCAAAACAAAGTGAAAACCTGTTCTTTTTGGAAGGATAAAAAGATAAACCAAAGAAGGTAAAATGTATAAAAATGCTGGTATGGTTATTTCAGGGCAGACTTCTCCTTTCATTGTGTCGATATGATGAGAGTTAAAACTTTTGGTCTGTAAAAATTTCAGGGACAGTGGGGGGATGACAGACGTTATAGGTTTTCTGTCTTACTGCTGTGTGTCCTCTCATCCTCTTCATCTGAGGAATCTCCGCCGTAGGGCACGAGCCCAGAAGTATCAACGCTCACTTTAGTCTTCTTCACTGACACCTCTTCCTCAACACCTGTAATTACAAAAAAATGGAGAAAAACAGAAAAAAAAAGGGGAAAGGTGGGAGACATCGGAGAGAAACAGGGGAGGGGGAGTGAGAGAGAACAAAACCAAACGGAAACCCAGTGAGGAGCCCCACATAAGGCGTGGTTTTTGAGTTGGTTTGATCCAGAGCCATGGGGGGGAGGGAAGATATCAAAATCAAACGGCAGCACAGCACACATCCATTACAGGCACGTCCGGGGGACACATGTTGAGAGAGAGAACAAGGGAAAGACAAAAAACATATACAAGAAGAGCACGTTAGTGAGTTCCAGCAGTGGTGCGCTTCAAACAGGTCTCCACTCCTCCCCCATTGATCCATGGGGGGAGATGCTACGACATGCAACACAGAACTCCACAGAAGTAAACGTCTGAGCTCTCAGGCTTTCTGAGTACGTTGGAAGAGAAGAAGCGCATACCCGTTGACGCGGGGGCGGCGGGGGGCAGGCTGGCCGGGGCTTCTGGCGCGGCGGCGTCCCTCGGCCTCTTGCGCGTAACGGGGGGAGGAGCCACAAACGGCGATGGAGGTGGAGGCATCAATATCCTGAAGGGATACAAACGTCAACATCGTCCCAAAATCAACTTGAAGGAAACCTGAGAAAATCTGTAGAAATCCAACCTTTCTACAACTTTCTCCTCTCCTACGCTGGATGAAGGAAGGGTGGACTCCAGGTGAGCAGGACCCTCTGGAGAGCAGCTGGCAGGCTACAGAGGAAGTCATGCATCACTTTAGAAAGTGCAACTCATCATGAAAAGATGTGAAAGCTTGAATTTATCTATATGCATTGTTTTTTTCATTGATTCCTAAAAATTATGCTCATTCTTTGAGGTATGAATGAAAACAGGCCACCCTCGCACTCAGTGTTTGATAAACACAATGGTAGGAATTTGAAAAACGGCCCTTAAATTTTACACAAATATTTTTGAATATTTATTGTAATTATGATCCAAGCAACAATAATTAAAAAAATAAATAAATAAAAATCACTATTTTGTTTATGAAGCAATAATTGCAAATAGTAACAGATATTGTTCCAAATCAAAAATGATCTATGATCAATTATTCTACTTCACTCGTATTTATGGAGTTTGCAAACAGAGTTTGTTATCTGGAATGGCTGATTTTTTTTAAATAGTATATCAAGAGAGGTGTGATGTACAAAACAATTAAAAACAAAACAAAAAAAAAATGTGTGAGACTATGTAGCAACTTCAAGTGAAACGGCATCGAGTTTCCAGATGTGAAACTTCAGAAATCCTCATGAAACCCAAACTGATCCAAAACTTGAGCACGACCAGAATGAGCTTTAACCGATACGTAGAGGCACCAGCGCTCCAGCTAACCTGTTCGTCCTTAGCCCCCTCCTGGAAGTGACCTTTGGGACTTCCTGAGTCAGGGGGGGTGTTTAAAGATCCTCCAGGCTCCACTGTCTCACTGCTGCCCGGATCCTTAAGCAGAGCACAACCAACATATGTACACTGCTGTGTGTGTTCAAAGCCTTGTAACACACACAGCCTGCAGCCCCTCACAGCCGCAGATCGGGTCAACTTATCCATGGTTTTATACGTTTCGTTTTTATTCAGATGAAGTGCATTTCGATCTGAAACTGGAATCTCGTTTTGAGTAATTAAAATGGATTCATGATAGAAATGATATATAGGACGTCAAGGGTTAATTTCTCTCAATTTTGATGATTATTGATTACAGCCAAAAAATGAAAATGTCTATATCATCAAATAAATACCCTTAATGTGTATATCTTTAGATACAGGATGTAAAGTTATTACCATATCATAGCCTACTTATTCGTAGGAAAGGCTGCTGCTGCTCATTGCGCCACAAGTTGCACAATCAACATAGAAAACTACAAAAATGCCCACCGTCATTTAGGCTGACGTACATGGAGATACTTTTGAGCGAGCCAACATTCCTGCTATCAAAATCCATTTTAACCGATTGCAATTTACAGAGAAAATTGATGTTGGCGTTTTATTACTAGCTGTAGGCTGTAATCTTCCACATTAACAGAAATAAAGGCTTGGAATATAAACGCCGAATGTAATTCATCTATATTATGTAGAAGATGCGCTTTTTGAACTGAATTAATAAACAAAATTAATAATCGCGTTCCAATTTCCTGCAATGCAAATGCGTAGATATGTAGGGATCTGGTAAAACGTACAGAAGAAAACCGATGTGACCGAAACGTAAACACCGGGAAAAATCTAGACATAAAAGATGTCGATGTGTGGCAGTTACCTGGACAAGAAAGGGATGTGGTTTCCTAGGACACACTGGATACTGAATCATTGCCTGAGAAGATGGAGATGGGGTTGTCGACAGGTTAGATTGACTTGGGGCGCCATTTGCATTACTCCAGTAACCACCGGCTCCTGGATACGCTGCATAGCCGCCAGCATACCCATTTGCTGGGTAGTTATACCAGGACCCCTGGCTAGAGTAACTGCTATTAGTTGGAAATCCATGTGCTGCGTATGCTGAAATGAAATTGTAGAATGTTAATTTTGAAGTAAATGGAGTATGGCTTACCAACTCAACTTATTGCTCAACCACTAATGATGCCAAGGGAATATTCTCTAATCACAAGAACAATGCAGCCAACCAGTATCTGATATTGGATAAACTTGTTGGAATCTGCCCAGTAGCAGTAATGATAATAATACTTACGCTGTGTTGCGCCTGTGGCTGTGTACACTGACACCATTTGGGCATGTTCAGCTCTCACCTAATGAATAAAAGATGGAAAAATAAAAATAACTCGTGAGCGACAAAAGTTTCACAGAGACTGTACTAATCTGTTGTCAGTAATGAGTCTGTGGGTAGGTGCAGAGCACACAAGGTCTAAGACTCGAGATCAGGCGGTTCACACTACCACATTGATTTTGGAGGTGGGTATCAGTGGAAACTATACGCTTCAGTAGTTTCACCTTCTTGTACCTCCGAATTTATTCTGCAATTGTCTACATGGTGACATGGTCAACTTACAGTTTCAAGCAGACTCTCTGTGAGTTTCTTAGCAGACTCTAATCCGGCTGCATTTGGGTGGCTGCGACACACAAAAGAGCTTTGTTGGACTAGAACGCAGCAGACTCAATAAGGGACTCGCAGACAGCAAAACAAAAAGACATTTTATGACTTCGGTGCAAGCAGCTGCTCACTGCCTTAACCGAAACCAGACGACGTCGATTACACTTTGTTCCATTTAAAGAGGGAAATCCTTCACGCTACACCTAAAAGGTTTTATGGGAAGTGAACATACCTGATGTAGACATAAAGAGGCTCAAACGACTCTCGTTTGGATGCCTGTTCGATGTAACCGGACCCTTTCCCCCTGAGGAAGACTCGAGCCCCCGTCTCGGTCTGGATGTGACTCAGGTACGAACCGGCTGGACCCTCGACCTTTTCCTTCACGTTGAACGAGGGCAACGCCTGGTCCAGGCCCACAAAGATTTTAGTGTGCACAAAACTCTGGGGGACATTGAAAGAATAAACGGTGTCAATAATTATGTCCAGTTACATTAGCTAAATATTTTTTTTCCATACATTTAAGAGGCTTTGTAAGCAAATGCAGCTATCCAAGGTTTTTCACTCCAAGCCAAGGATATTCTCTCTGCTGGTTGATTTTGGAGGCGAGTTTCAGTGAAGGCAACAAACTCCATTTGCCTCACTTTCTTTACCTCCGTTAAAAGGTCTGCTTGAGTCTAGAAAAATTAGCTAGAAATACATCTTGCACCGAGTGCAATAATGGCTTTTGATTGTTTATCATTTTAGATTTTTTTCTTGTTCACTGGTCTAAAAGATGTTTTATCTTGTGATCTGTATATTTTCCATCGACATAACAGTGTGAAAACATAAAAACACAAGCAAGAGTGTGTTAACTCTGGGTATTTAACCAGAGGGAAGCCTTGTTGTTTGAACCACAACAGAAACATGAGGTTTACCCACCCCTGTATGAGGAGCTGCTGGTCGATGTCCCTGGCCCGGCACAGAGTTTGCGTTGGGCAAACGTGGCACAGGAGTGGGAATGACGGGCCGAGGAGGCTGAGGGTAAAGAGTGAGTGGTGGGATCACAGGGACCTGCTGTCCTCCGGACGCTGCTGAGGCTCTTATCACATCCTCAGAAATTATCTCCTTTATTCTCATCACAGCTTCTGATATCCCACAGGAAAAAGAACAAAACATGTGAGAGATGGAAAAAACAAAAACTGACAGGTGCCTTGTGAATCTTTCAAAAAACAATATCAAATTTGCTCATTGAAAATAATAATAATAATCCTACTTACTATTGACTTGCTCTTGTGTTTTTCCCTGAACATGTAAATACAAAGGTCTTTGTCTGAAAGAAATTACATCACAAATGTTAGGGAAACATTTGCACTAAACTAAATGCACTAATTTGCACTAAATGTGAACAAAATAAACATTTTTCACTGAAACAAAAAAAAATTAAACACCTGACATCTAGTAAGATGTTATTACAAAAGTTCTGGAGATGTATTGCATACAAATCTCAATTGTTTGGAAAAAAAGACTGCATGACAAACTATGACAATACAGTAAAGTTAAAGTTCAAATACAGCATGTATTTCCTACAATATCTGATACATAAATCAAATTATTAATGTCCCAGGTGTTATTTCTTGTTTCACTCTCTCAAAACTTCCACTCTGCTTAACAAAAATATTATCCCATCACAATTTTTTATTTGATTTTATTTTTTTAAAGAAATCGTTAATGTCAGAAGTTTGAAGAACTAGTCATGGAAAATAAAACATTAAATTCCCTGTGCAACATACCCTCCCGCTCCTTTTTCAATCTCAGGCATGTAAAGACCTTTAGTTGAGACAACGGCTCCACTAAATAACCTGATCTGAAAAGCAGAATAAGAAATTAAATGTTACAAATATATATACATAAAAAGTTTGGTTTTTGTGTTTAATGCCAGTTTTCCACTTACCTCCTCTTGTGTTTTTCCTTTAGTAAGAAGTTCTCTGCAGTTTAGCGGTACGTCATTTATGTCGACCTCTGTGACCACCAATTCTTCTGCAGGGGTTGGAACAGGGATACTTGGGGGTTTCTTAATAAAACAAAGTAAAGTATTAGTATTGCAAAAACAGAAAAAGACTTCCTTCCAGATTTTTTTTAAAACTATGCACCTTTGGAAGTAATGGTGGAGGAGTTAAAAGTTTTCCCTTTGCCATCAACATGGCATTTATTTTAGCAGCCATGGCTGCTGCTTTCTCAACTCCCCCTGTTGGTGTTTCTTCTGCCTCTGGTGGCTGAGAGCCGACAACCCCAGGGAAGGCGACGGGGAGCGTGGCATTGCCAATACTCTTCTGTTGCTGCACATCCACACTCTTTTTAGGTTGTGCTGGTTGATCCCAGCGACTTGTTAGGCAGCTGAAAAAACAAACATACAGACACAAAAAGAAGATACTTCATACAATGCAGAGTTAAGCTCACGTTGCTGTTTTCACCATCCCTTTCTCCCATCTCTAATGTAGTTCAGCACTACTACTTTACATTAAGACAGTTTATAATATTTGACCAAATGTGTATCTCTCAGCAATACATAATTTCCTTACCTTCCGAAATATAAAGAAAACAAACCAGCAATGTAGCATTCCACAGACGCTGAAGCTAATGTTGAGTTAGCTAACACCGATTTACGATTCTAGTTTAAACTGTTTAAACCTCCAATAGACCAACAATAAATTTATATAGTAGCAAGTAGAATTAATCCTAAGACATCGGTTATAAGCGTAAGATTTCAGTCAAAATAAATTACACAAATACTCCCTGAGCCAACTTTTACTACTAGGCCAAGAAGCTATTAGGCAGCTAACGCGGCAGCTAGCGTTAGCGTAGCAGGATATGGCTAACACGGCCTCGGCTTGTGAGCTCGTTCCTCGAGTTATCTCCAAAATAAGGTAATACTCACGGCGTTTGTCCTGTCATTCCCGAAGACATAGCACGACCCCGGAAAATATAAATGTTTTTAAAATGTCTCTAATATAGATAATGTTGAACGACCGCAGCCATCAGTCCGATGTCGCCGACTGTTTCCTCTGACGACTCTGTCGCAAAGTCTGATCTGACGGAAGTTGGGCTGTTTTTATGTTACGTAACGTCAGTCTGGAACAATCTGCGCGCCACTGTACACACAGAGGTAAGATCGATGAGTCGACAGACAGAGCTGTACGGGGCGCCAAATGTAACACAGTGAACCAGGTTAAACTTATTCCGCCTTTCACAGCAAAACTTATTTGTACAGCTTAGGTCATTGGAAAGATAAGAAGTCTCATAAAAGCACATATTTAATTTAATATATCATAATGAAAACAACGTTTTGTTTTTCTGTACTGCTGAAAAATGCCACCTCCTTTAAATCTCTTTTAATGTGTCTAGTTGGAAAATAAATAAATCAGTTTTAATCAAAATAAAACTGATTTTATTTTTATTTTAAAACTGATTTTATTATTTAATGTCAAATGTCCCTTTGACATTTTTCCCAAATGTCAAAGGGAAAACAATGCTATGGCCCAGAAGACGCCTGATCTGTGCATTTATATTCAAATTCAAAAAGATTTGTTGAAGAAAAAGTTTGTATTGATGCACCTTTATATTCTTCACTTCATATAATAGATGTTTAGCCTTTCTGTATTTGGAAGAAGTCTTTAATATAGCAAGAAACATTTTCACTTTGAGCATATTTTATGATAATCAAGAATGAAACCACAATGCTTATTTTTCCTCTTTCCATATGAAAAAGGTAAGTATCTGGGGGGAAAAGGACTCCAGTCACTTTGATCTGATCAGGATCTTTGAGCATGGTGAGACTCCTTCATACCTCTATTAAAATACTGTCATTGAATTATTGCAAAAAAAAAAAAAAAATCAAGTAATTTGGTTCTAGTTGCAATATGACTCAAAAAGTCATTTAGGAGTGGACAGTGTATTTTTTTCCATCTTGTGCCAACAGCCAATGTTGTGGTTGACCAACAACCACAACACCGTCCCGTCTGTCTTTGTTGGTGCCGTCTCTCCTCACGTCTCCTCACCTCCAACTGGTTGAGGCAGATGGCTGTCCTCTGAGCCCGGTCACGCCAAAGATTTCTTCCTATTAAAAAGAAACATTTTCTTTCCAGCCTGGATGTCATTGTTGGGTCTATTCATGTTGCTTTGCAAAAAAAAAAATTTTAGCAGTAAGTATGAACATTACTTTAAACCTAATTCAAAAATTATGCCGTCTACTTTACAGAAGATGCAGCATTCTTGAATCACATGTAGCACGATTAAATGGAAGATAACAGTTATCCTTACTGCTGATGTCAAATTACATGTGAAAAGTTTTTATGTTCTTTACACGATAACACCAGAATTTACTTATTCTTTAAAATGCCAAGGAGCAAACCACTTTAGATGTAATATTTTGAGTTGGAGTTTGCTAAACTTAAAGTAACACTCATTTTCCTTTGTGTAGCAGATATTAACTACACTCCATGTGTGTGCACGGCTAAAAATATTTATAGAACTGAATGCAAATATCAAGTTCATTTATGGTATCGCAAAGTCATTCAGATTTAATGTCACATTACAACCACAAATCTTGACGTGCGTACTTTGAAAATATGAACCAACTAAAATTCTCTTTTATAGATATAAATCCAAAAGGTGTGTCTTACCTTTGACAGGATACATAATCTTTACACACTTTACTTATTCCTCTACTATGGAAGAGCAACAAAAAGAAAGCCACAAGGAGTTGTGCTGCCACAAGACATGCGACAAACATTTAGAAGAAGGTTAAAACTTGGTGATGGCTGCATAATCATTCCCTGGAGCTAACGAAAGAAAACCTCTGACTTGACACTTGGGCTGGACCCGAACATAAAGTCAGCCACAAGAATGACTCAGACAAAGTCCAGATGCTCTTCATGCAATGTGACTAGAGTTTGAGCTAGTTTGCAGAAAAGAAAGGACACGAATTTTAGTCTCTAGATGTCCACCGTGGGTAGACCCAACCCAAAAACTCTTTACATCTGCAGCGTAACGTGGTTGTTAAAAAGTATTCATTCTGGGTTGCTAAACCCAAATGCAACCTTTTTCAAAATTTTATGTTAAAAAAAAATTAGAAAACCATGCATCCTTTTCCTTCCACTTTGTAATCGCGTGCCAATTTGTGCTGGGCTGTCACATAAAGCCACGACGAGATACATTCAAGATCAAGTTTGTAACATGACAAAACATAAAAACCCTTAAAGGCCATGAAAACTTTCACAATATGTGAGAAAGAACAGATGCCAGAGACAAAAAAAAAAAAAAAACTGTTGCAGGAAAAACACTGCAAGGATATAGTTGACATTTTATTTTTCATTGAATAAATTCTATTTTTTCCCCCCCGTGCCTTCAGACCAAACGTGAATCAGAAGGAACAAACAAATCCCCTGATTAAGTGTACAATTCTGTCATAAGAGAGAAACAAAATTAATTGTGGTTAATGCATCTCATTAACCAGTAGTTGCTTAGCTGTTATGGCATTTATATACTGTTTAAAGAGGAAATCTTCTCAAGAAGCATCGATCTTTTAACATAGATATTAGTATCCTAATCTGAATCCAACTTTGAACAAAAACAAAAAAACAAAACAAAAAAAAAAACAAAACAATGTTACCCGGGTCTGTGCATAAGGGTGTTGGACGATTGGCCAAATATAGAGTGATGTTTTGATCAAAAGAAAAGACAAGAAAAAAAAAAATCAATGCAAGCTGGCCTCCAGGAGACTGCTTTAAAGACAGTGATAGACAACTCTGCGATCCATATCCTGCTTTACCGTTCGGCTCTCTATACGCACGCTCTGTGTGGCTTTCTCCTTCACAGGTGTTCAGATAGCTATTATGGTTGATCTCATCTGCTGCAAATCCAGTGTAAAATTCATTGTCTATAAAAATATTGAGATTTACTTGAAGGTAACCTTCTGACTGTGTTATAAGAAAAAACTCCAGATGTCCATTACAGTTGCACAGTGGGATGTACTGTATAAATATTGTACAAAATAAGGCAGTCTTTTTTTTCTTCTTCTTCTTCAGTAGGACAAACCAGATACAAAAAATTTCTGGGAGGACAAAAAAAAAAGAAAGAAAAAAAAGAAAAAAAAAAAGAAAAAATATTGTTCAAGTCCAAAACGATTTTCACATATTTCTGCTGCTGTTGTCAAATGTCAAGCGGTTTTACAGCATCAAACCAAGAGTATGGGATTGCTGCAACAATGAACACACCCGCGCACTCACACACCAGCGACCAAAAAGAAGAAGAAAAAAAAACAAAACAAATAAAAACAAAACAAACAAGAAACAAAAAAATAATAAAAAATTTGAAAACCAAATTCCCACACGCGTTCACACAAGCAGACGATCTCCTGATGATAAACAGAAAAACAGCTTATTCTCCAACGCAACATCCCGTTCCTGGACAAATCACTGAGACGTAGACACTTCTAATGTTGTATACAGTGCAATACAAAAGGGTTCATTCGTTTATTCAAACTGGTACTGTACTCTTGATAAGAAAACAAAAAAAAATGTTTAATAAGGTCGCATGAATAATAATAATTGTAAATTTTTGAGCGTTGTAGTAGTAGTAGTACTGGTCTTTAATAGCTTTGGCTTTTTTTTTAATTCTAAACTCATTCTGCTCTTACTCATTTACTAATTTGTTTGTGAATTTTATTATAGAAAAACATGGAAATTTAAGAAAAATATTAGCACACTAAATAACCTGTAATTAGATACCTATATTGAGTTTTTCTCTTCTTTATGTTGTTGTCTCTCAGCAGTGGGCCTGGGACAAAGGTCCACCCCTGACCCATGAAGGAAGCATCCGCTCTCATTTCTGTTATGACAGCCGTGTGTCAACTTTGTGTTTCTGAAGGACATGTGGAAATATTGCCTGAAAAACAAAAAACAAACAAACAAACAAAAAAAATAATAAAATAAAATAAGCGGTGGAGTGTACTTTCATGACGTGGCCTCCGATGGTTCCTAGGAGCGGCTCTGCCTCGCTGCGAGCGCAGGAGCTAGAGGTTGAAGAAGTGATTACATGGCCTTAAATGGACTAGACAGTTTTGTTGTTTTTTTTAGATGCTAACAGCAACTTCACAGGCAGGCAGGAGTGCCTACGCGGTAGTCAGAGGATGGATGCTTTGCCACAGAGACCGGTGAGGACCCAACCCCCCCCCACACCCAAAAGCCTCCCCTCCTCCGTCCTTCTTTCAGTCGTGCCAACAGCGACACTGCGAATGCCTATGAGGCACGAGAAGTTCATGAGGATGCTGGATGTCCGTATCCGACGGTTACAGTTCCCATCCGACGGGCCTGTGAGAAGCCAGCAGCACTTCGGCAGTGTCGGGAAGTCCCTCTGTGCGTTTTTCTGCTGTGGACGGACATGTGGGGCGCTCGGCGTGCTACAGAAGCAGGAGAGTGAAGGCGAGGAGTCCCTGTGCGGCTGGGCTGGGCTGGGCTGACAGGGTGGGTGGGGAGAGAGACGCCCCAGCAGGAGAGAAGAAGGTTCTGCACCCGGGGTTTTCGGGGCGGTGCCAGGGTCCGAACGCTGCGAGCGAGCGGCTACTCCGGAGGCGGTCGCAGGGTGTGCAGCTTTCGATCGTCAAGGCCTTTCCAGTACTTGAAGTTGTTGTCCAAGTGCTGCATAAGATTGGGGAGGTCCGCAAAAGCTGGAGAGGAGAGAGGGGAGGCGGCGTGAGTGCGTGTGATTGAAAAATCACAAACATGACCCTTACCTTCTGTCTCCTGAGACATGCAGCAAAATCCTTATTATTATTTTTTTTTTTACACAAACCTCAGTGTGTTTTATAATCCAATTTTAAAAATCAAACTATCATAAGAAAGGCTGTTAGTTTTTCAATCCAAGACGCATTTGATTGAAACCTGGCAGACAGATCGGCTGTGTAGCATATAATGCTGCATTTACACACACACAAAAAATTACTGGAATGGAATCAGTCCACAGGGTTGTTAGGAAGTTTAAGAGCTTTTCTTATGCGTCTCTCCGGGACAAGTAAAATTTTGGAAAATAGTGGCAGCTATGAGATTAAAATCGCAATGTTGCTATAATTGAAATATCTAATTATCTCACATATGATGGCAAAAAGCAAGTGTCCTCACTGTGACACCAAGCATATGTACAGAACAACATAAACCATCTAGTATCTCACATTGCTTTGATACATTAAAGTGAAATGAAACAACACATAGCTAATTTTTGGACAGAAAAAGTATTCAGTACGCAAGCTTCACCTGTAAACAGATCTTAGAAATAGATGCACATATTGTTAATCGTCTCTGATCGGTGTTTGGGAAGGCCAAATGTAAAAAAAAAGAAAAAAAAAAAAGCTGGATTTGTTTCCCCGTCATAACATATTTGGTCTATAAATCCTTCAATCTACAGCAAATGCTTTGACAAATGCTTTAGAGTTTGGTAAACATCAAATAAAGACTGGGGACATTTATTAACAATGCCATTTTCCACTTATTTCAAAACTACGATCTCCATTAAAAACCACGTGGGGTGGAAGTGGAGTAATCAGCAGGTCCAACCTTTATAAAAAAAAAAAATAATTGGAAACCGGTGTCGGCCAGAAAGTCTCATCAGTGCATCCTTAGTTGAAGCATCGCCCAACTCAGACTCAGCCGGATTTTATACAGTCATGCCTTTCAGTCCATCGTAAGTCTGGCTTTCCAAATTACATTTGTAAACAGTCAAGGAATTGTAAGGAAGTAAAAAAAAACATGTTTGGACAGCGGTTCTGTTGTTTATGTGATGTCGTGTTGTCTCACCATCCCATGCATCAAACATGTCTGTGATGAAGTAGTCTATAAAGGAAATCTGGGACTTTGGGATGCTACACGTGTTTCTGTCAAACACAGGCATGACCACCGGTAGACCTTGTCTCTTCTCCTCATCCGTCTGCGGCAAAGACAAGAGCACAAGTGACCATCATGTCCGACAGCACTAAAAAGTCTGTTACTAACATATTGCACCAAATAAAACAAGCGTCTAATTCTAGAAATTGCATCTATAGTCCTTAGTAAATGTATTTACCTGTGCAAAATACTCCTCTGAGATGCGGCCAGCCCATTCTATGCAGAGCTCCAGGGGCCTGCACGGATTAGAGATGTCTGCACACTTGATCAGCATCCGCTTGACGAGGATCCGGTTCTCCGGGGACGTCAGGACGCTTTTGACAGCCTCCTCGTCACTGCTTCCCTAAACAAAACCAACGCAGGATGTTAGGATGAACAGAACCCCCCGGCACTCCAGATCCTTTCAGATGGAAATGTATACTCTGATAAATCCAGAATACATGCTTTTTGTTTTGCTTCGTCAGCCTGTCTTGTTTATTTGAGTACACTGGACTCAAATGCGGTGCAATAAAACAGAGTTTATTGGTGTTAAACCCGTCTTTAAAAAAAAAAAAAAAAAAAAAGGGCTGAAAACTGGGGAGTAGCCATCATCTCAGAAGCGAGGGGGTGAAAAGAAGTGAAAGTCCTACTGTTACTTAGGACAGAAAAAATGGAATGAAAGTGAAGGGTAACATGGCAAGGAACCTTGTAATTTAATTTGAACACAGAAAGTGACGACGCTACATTAGGTAAATGTGACAGCACAGATGTGCAAATGTATCAAGATAAATAAAAACTGAATGCCCTACATCTGCTGCCTTTTTGAACACGAGTAATATCTGAAAACAATTTTTAAAAAGCCTAAATATAAACTGGATACGGCCTTCTCGCTGTGCTACCTACAAGTCAGTCAAAAATAGTTTGGAGAGCGAATGAGTGCAATTCTGAAATATCTGTAAAAACCCTGTTCGGATACCTGCCTGGTTTCTTCCTGTAACAGATCTCGTTTTCTCACCACATTATAATCCCTCCTTACCCTGCTGCTGGCCTCTGGTTTAATGTCTGCTTCCTGATATTTCTTATTCTATTGTGAAAATAAAGATTTCTTTTAAATATGTGGAAAGTAACAGCGAGCACCACTTCTGTACATAAATGAAAGAGAGCTGGGTTTATTCCTGGTACTAACTATCTAGCAATGGGTGAAAAATAGGTTAGTTAACAACAGTTTGTGTTGTTAACTAGCTTAATATGACATACTGGATTAGCTGGTCAACATTTTGCTACCATTATCTGCGTGCAGCAGAGTTTGCTAATCACTTTACTCGGTTTGTTTAGAAGAAAAGTGCAAAGTTTTGTTTTTTTTCTTGTTTTTTTTTTTGGGTCTGGCTAGTTGCTGAACACAGCAGCTCTGCTCTGCAGCAGGTTCTGATCAGTGATCAGATCCACAGGTGTAACAGGCGTTAAGCTGGTGGTGCGTTTAAAGACGGCTCGGAGAATCACCTCACCGCGTCTTTGCAACCGTTGGAACGGTTAACGGTTGAAAAAAAAAAAAAAGTGCGGGGGGACATGTCCCACGCGTCGGTAACGCCCACGCCGGAAAACATTTTAATATCCATGTTGAGCATTCCGCACAGAGACGGTAAAGATAGAACCAGGTTGTTAAATTCTCCCGCTCTCTAACACAAGAACCAACAGGTCGTACGTCCGCTTAATATGTTCCTATGATTATCACTTAAAATCCAAAGTCTCTGTTGACTCTCTGCTGCTGGTTTATGAATCTCTAGAGACAGAGTTATACTTCTTTCTATTTGGAAAGAAATCAAAATGGGAAATTTTGTAAAATTACCTCTGTAAACGCAATTATTCAGCCATTATTTGTTATTGTAATAAAATGACAGTGTTTTGTCGTGCCATCACGTGAAATCTCACCCCGTTCTCCTCCAGAGCAGCCAGCGGCTTGTTGATGCTGTTCACAAACTTGTTGACGTGTTCAAAGTGTTTGGTCATCTCCGTTGCGAGGACCATGTCTATGACGGCCTGTCGTAACGATCGATACTCGTTCCTGAAGAGAAGAAGAAGAAGAAGACAACAAGGGGGTGAGGGAGAGAGGGAGAGATGGGAGGAGGAACAGAAGGAGGTAGGGACAGCGTGGTGAGTAGTAGCATGGAAACCCGTGTAAACAGTTTTCTCCTTCTGACGACAGTGACGGTGGCGATGAATGGCTGCTTTGTTCGTCGCTCCGCCGTGCCCCCCTTGCCCCCCTCCGAGGGGACCAGCACATGTGAGCTATTCTGTTTTGGGGCTCAAATCACATTACTGTCCCGCCAGTGCTAATACACAAACATGCGCACAAACACACACTGTGATCTTTCATCAGCAGAAATTCAGACTTGCTTTACTGCCTGTTGCCCTTCCTAACAGAAGTCGCTCCCAAAGACTTATGAATAATGATGAATCCACTCTATTTAAATGAAACAATAGTAAATAACACCAACTACAATCTGAATATGGACCTTTTTGTAATGCAGAGCAAAAGAGTCTCAGCACAAAAGCTGCCAAATGAGACTTTTTTTTTTTTTTTGCCAAGACGGTTATGCAACGTTGTTATAAGAATGTTATTATAAGGTTGCAGCCACGTACTCAAATTATAGTTTATAAAACTACACTTTAAAGTTTGTGTAAAGGGCTTATTAAAAAAAAAAAAAAAAAAAAATCTAATATGCTTTCTAAAAGAAAAAATGCCAAAAGATTTCCATGCGGAATAATTTTTTTCTACTATGCGTCAATAATAAATAGATCATCATCAAAAAGTTATCTTATTTCAGTAATTCTGTTCAATATAGAAAAATCCCAGATTCTCACACAGTGACATGCTTTTAAATAATTAATTTTGATGACTGTCGATTAAAATTCAACATTCAGTTCATTATAAAATGTGAATAGTCCATAAGAACTTGAACTTTATTCAAGTAACTTTTTTATGATGTTCTACTTTCTTGTGATGCAACCATGGAGAAACGTCCTGTCTGTATAAGATCCCTCTAAAAAAAAAAAAAAACTCCATCTGAAGATTTTTATTTTCTTTAAAGAGTTGTGTGGCTTTTATTCACTAGTATCTGAGCATCTGTACGTTTCTGTATGAACTTTAAAAAAAATGCATTTCTGAGATAATCTCTGATTAAAACACATCTCCTCACCTTTCTATGTGTTTGAAGATGTTGGACTTATCATCTCTGGTGGTGAGCTGGAAGGCCAGGGCAGCATGGTGGCTCTCTAGCACAGCTGTGTCGTTGTACAGAATGGCCAGCTCACTTCCTGCGTTGCACAGGAAGCTGTTGGTGCGGCCAGGGTGGTCAATATCGTGCACGGTGGCGGCGATCAGAGCAGCCACTTCATCGATGGGATCCAAACTTTGCTGTCAGGACAAACAGGTTTTGAGAAATAGATGTTAGAGACTGAGAATAAAACATCTTGCTATCTTTGAAACCAAAGGTGATGATTTAAACCAAAACCAATGAGAGAGAATCACTTTACTCAAACAGTTAGGCTGCATGCGGCGGTTATGTGCAGGTCTGCTAAATAAGACAGTAGCTTTTATTTTTCTTTATCATAGAACATTTAACTATTGCCCAACTGTCCATTTGGGCACACGTACGAAAATAGCAGCAGCATTTAAGTTCTTAAAGTGCACAAGTGGTCTGTAAAGCAGAAGTGACCTTCAACACAAACGCTGACCTATGGAAATCCTGGGACTCATTAACCTCGTGTGATGTAACTTCACAGTTCACCGGCTAAAGCCCCGAGAGATCACTGGGCCGAGATCAGAAATAGATGCTTTGGGTAATCGGCTTACCGAGTCCCGACCGTCAACACGTTACTGAACCACTGACACACTTGGGCAAAACTGTGACTCTCTAGGATTGAGATGAAACTGATGGACCGTTCTGACCACATTACCTTGCTGTGGCAGCCCCAATACTATGTAGCATTTAGGTATAAACTAGGTTGCCACTGACGCAACATGTACAGTGCATACAGCTGCTTGCAAAAGCCGAATGCCACCCAGATTCACGTTATTACCACAATGTCAATGTGTTTCACTGGGAATTTTACGTTGATATGGGGGTTGTTTGTTCTTAATCACCATCCACATGCAGAGATCCGTATTTCTGCCCAGGACAGCTTCCCCTGAGCAGGAACAGATTCTATGTTTCTGTTGAAAATAAGCATCCCCACACCATGATGCTGCCACTGCCATGTCCACCAGCCATTTCCTTTGGCATGTTGGCAAAAAGGTTTTAATTCAGATCTCATCCGACAAGAATGCCTTCTGCAGCATGTTTGCTGCGTTCTACAGACTCTGAAAGGTAATTTTCCGACCTTCTATAAGCAGTCGCTTTCTTCTTGCTACTTTGTGGAGTAGACATTATCACAGTTTCCCTTCCTTGTCGGCTTGAAGATGTGCCACACTCTTCATTTTTAGATGATGGATAGAACGGAGTCCTGTAAAATGCTCCAACTCTGCTCTTTGCACTTAATGATGCAGTTTGAACATTAATGTTCTCTATCAAGCCTCAGATCTTTACTGTACAGCTGAATTTAAACTGCAGAGAAATTGCATACACGTTTCACTACTTTGTGTCGCATTACAAAAGCAAACATAGCTATAAAATACACTGAAAATCGTAGTCGTAGCATAGGAAAATGTAAAAACTGTTTGAGATATGAATACTTTCACAATTTACTCAATAAAAATTGTTTTAAACCACAAACTAATGCATTTAATCTCCAAGTAGCCAGATGAGAGCGTAACAGAATATTATGCAGACTAGAAGAAGGACCCAGCAAACAAAATGAAGCAACATAGGAGAAATTAATTCCGTTAACTCTTATGACATGTTTTTAGCTCCCTGATTCTCTGAGAATCCCTACGTTGGTGCAGGAAAAAGACAACTTTTACGGAAAACTGTTATCTTTGGTATTTTTCATAGATGCAACTACAGAAATGGAAACAGATGACTTGCAAAAAAAGGGCATAAATATCCCATTTGAAATGTTGAGTAAGCGGCCAAAGTCCAAGAAAAACTTTACAAGACTTTCAGAAAGCCTGAATGTCTCAAGACGACTTTGAATAACAACTTCAAGAAATGAAAGCTGGTTCAAAACTTTTACACAACACTTCACTACGTTTCAAGAAAAGCATCAACTTTTTAACTCACATGATTTTGTATTATTATTTAAGAATATTTAAAAAAAGATATCCTCATAATTATGTGCATTTAAAATGTTACATTTCCCATTTTACCTTCACCCTCTCCTTGGAGAGAAAATATGCCGTAGCATGCAGTACGTCGGCCGCGTGGGTGGAGTTGTGGTAGGAGTTGCTGGAGTGGTAGTTGGCCTCAATCACTTGCAGCCAGGAGCGCAACGTAGCTTCAGGGCAGTTTAAAAACTCGCACACTCCGAAGCGGGAGAAAATCTTGAGGCCCAAGAAGGTCAACGGCCTGCAGGAGGATTTAGGACGGAAACGTCAGTGAGAAAACTCTTTCCACAACAGGAAAACACCTGTGGTCATCCTTTGAGACTGGGAGGTCTCACCGTTTCATGGTCGCAGCCTCCAAGCTAAAGATGTCAAAGTCCCACGAGTCCTCACTTTCCATGGTCTGGGCGATCCGAGGGGGGATGTCGTTTAATGACAGAGGGGTCGCCAGGTGACTTGGCAGATGGTGGGGCTCTGCGAGCAAAATGAAAAAAAAAAAAAAAAAAAGAGGAGAAAAGCAAAAAAATAAAAATAAAAAATCTTAGCATACAGAGTAGAGGGAAAAGGCAACCCGGTAAAGTTTTGGTTGCGGTCAACCGTTTGTGTAAACTCACGCTTTGTGGCGAGGATGTATTCGTTTCCTGACATTCTGCGTAAACCATCCTGTTCAGAAGAGAAGCAAGAAGGGAAGCTTTAGTTTGCCTTCTTGTAACCATTAGATTAGGGGTTCAGCTCAGAGGGAAGATCATCAGCGCAAACTTTGGAAGGAGGATCGCGCCAGAAGCCAGCGTAGCCCCGGCCGAGACATTAAGCGTAATCGTACCAGATATAATAGAGAAATGACGCCGTGATTATTTATGACTGTATGTTAACCAATCCACAGCAAATTATTTCACTTGGTCATTTCTCTTCCTTTGGGGATTCCTGTATGTTGTTCCAGCAGACGGAGCTTATCAGAGGGAAAACGAGGCCTCACCCAAATAATCAACCAAGCAAAGGGAAGCGTAATGATCAGACTCTCTAAGGACTGTGACTCACACCAGCTGTGCGTAACAGACGGCTTGTTAAGAATTTGGACATCAAGAGAAACAATCGTGACCTTTCTAGTTGCTCGTTGGGTCGGACATTTTTTTTAAATGTACTCCAACGTTAGAATTCCCAGATGTTTGAACTTTTAAAAAAAAGGTCTTCCAAATTGGATTCTTAATTGAAAAATCCAAAGTACAACCACAAAATAAATCAAGGCTTCCGTGTGAAATTAATGTGGTTAATCCTGCAGACATGAGCACTTAAAAAGGGGGGAAAAACAGTCTCCCATCGAATAAAATATGTGCAAAAAAAAAAAAAAACGTTAAAGAAAATATGAACTAAAAGAAAACTTTAGATATTTAGGTTTCGGATAAAGTTGACCGGTGTGCTTTAACGTTTATGTTGGTTTTCTGTCAGACTTGCTCCGCACAGCACAGGTTACAGCACACACTGGGTGTTAGCGAGTGCATGGGTGTGTGTCACAATGGGAAATGTTTACTTCACAAGTGCAAAAGGAAGAGGAGACTGGCTCATCTTTGACCCATGCATTGTCTCGTGGTGCTGCTGCCTCAGTACTATTTTAGGACTTTTTCTCCCAAAAAAAAGAAAACAAGAAAGAGAGAGACGTTTGCCCTTTTTTTCTCTCTTTTTTTTTTAACCCAATCTTCACTTGATCGATTTGATTCTACCGCGTGAGCTCGGACAAAACCGCCCCTGCTTTTATCGCCTCTACCGGTCAAATCTTCTTTGTGACGGACCAGCACCTTGGCACCGCCGCTTCGTCACAGAGGAGCTCACGTAAAAAGTAAAGCCGTTCATGTTCATCTGGTCCAAAGAACAGGATGTTTCTGAGCCTGTGGTCGTGGAGAGGGAAACGAGTGCTGCTGGGTGTATGTGCGCAGAGACAGAGGGAGAGAGAAAGGGCGGGGTGGGCTTTCCTCTCCAGCCTACAGGAGCACAAAGGACAATCTAACACTTCCTCTGGGTTTGTTGCCAAGACTGCCAACTTGGCACTACTTCTTGTTCTTCACCACTAGTGTCTGATAATCTTTCTTTGCCTCCTCCTCTTTGGAAATAATAATAATAATAATAATCACACACTCCTAATCTTATTATTATTATTACTAGATCACATACGTTTCAGCAGGAGTCAGGTTGTGTACAACCTTTTCAGTTCATGCCCCAGGAAAAAAAAAAAAGGCACTGCCGCTTACCAAGCGTGACGATGACTGAGAATCCACACCGACGTTTGCCACTCACCGTCATCAGCCCCCCGACGAGGTCGCTGGTGTGTGGATCTTCATCCTTGGTGCCCAGCTGTGGGGAGTACAGCTCGGTGGTCCTCAGGATTTCCAGCACCCGGTCTAAGGCCTCTGCCACAGGCATGGGGCTGCTTTCCTGTGCTTGGTTTATGATGTTTATAACCTGATTGAGGAAAGAGAGAAAAAAAACCCTCAAAACAGCCATATTAGTTGGAACGGTGCAAGAAATACTAAAGCAGACTGAAATAATCAGCATGTTTTAATTTTCTGGCTGGACTGCAGGAAAAAAAAAAAAAAGTGGCAAAAACAAAGCCAAAAAACACACTCCAGCCAGCACCACTGTACAGCATGTTGGGTCATTTAAAGCCTTTGGACTCTGTCTGCAAACAGCCCGTTCCTGCTGTTTCACACAAGGAGAAAAAAGGTCATAAAATACAGCTGAGCACCCATGGAAAAACCACAACGCCCCCCACAAAAAAAAAAAAAAAAAAAAAAAAAAGATTCCAGTGTTTCATTGGTAACTTTGCTTTTTTTTTTTTATTCCACATGTTTGTTTTTTTGCTGTTGTTTTTATTTTGCATGTTGCTGAGTAAACATGTCGGGACATCCCTGTGACTCCTCAGAGCTGATACTGCTAACCTGTGAGGCAGGAAGGAACAGGCAGTTATTGGCGTATAGATGATCGATATAACTTTCAGAAAAAGCGTCACGCCTCCTGCACAGACAGGGGAACCGCCGATTCTGACTGCAAACGAGGACGTCTCGGTTTTAATTAGCAGGAAAATGCTGACACTTCTAAATATGTGGCCTGAATTAAACTAAAAGAAATGGCAGCTACAGATATCTGTGGGGAAAAAACAAAACAAAACAACAAAACTTCATTTTGTATTAAATAAGCACATGAAATTAGGCTGAGAATAAAGAAATAAAAATCCCAGGAGGCCATGGCAGGCTACCAAAAGTCTATAGTGTTTTTTTTTTTTTTTAATATTACTCATATCTCCTTGCATATTATATTATTCAACCTCTTTTTAAAGCTGATTGAATATGGCTTTTCTTTTCAGAACAACCACAGCAAACCTGTAAAATATTCTTCCAAATGTTGCTCATTTGGGATTTATTCAAATTTCAGATTTCTATTCCTTTTGTAATCCGAGCTACAACTGGCACCAGTAACACAAAAATGCCAGTTGTATTGAAAATGAAAAATAAATAAAATAAAAAACCTTTTAAAATTTCCAGGGAGACACAAAGAAAAGCTTTTTTTTAAAAATATATATAAAAAGCTAAAAGGTTATTTCCAGCTCTTAAATAGATAAATCGCTAACTAAGCTTAAAAAAAAACAAAACAACAAAAACCATGTAAAGATGTGTATACTTTTATAACCGACATGCATTCTCTCAAAGAAGTCTAAAAAGTAACGTCGACTCTAACAATGGGCACCAATGGCAAGGTCATCAAAGCATGTACAAAAACACAAATTTGAACTAATTTGCTTGCGCACATTTCCCCACCCCCCCAACACACACACACACGCACGCACGCACGCACAAACACACACAGCCAGCAGTCGTATCACTGCTCTAATCTCCAGAGGACGACGCCCACAGGGATCGACTGCACAGTCAAATGATACAGCAGAAGAACCGCAGTGTGTCATATGACCCCCGCTCCCTGGGGACTTGTGCTGCGTCGGACCATCCAAACTACACAAACCGCTTAAAACGGCGGGTCATTCCAACCCAACGTGCTCCTACTTGTCTTGTGCATGAAATGTGGCATTTTATCAACCCATCTCCACTTGAAACAGCCAGTGTGTGAGTGTGTGCGTGTGCGTGACTTCCACACTTCGTTTCGGCGGTGGTACAGGAAGCGCTCATGGCCTTTTTAGCACTTTTAGAATGCAAGTGTGCAGTCATGAGACGGTAAGAGATGATCATATGACGGAGGGGGACTGGGATGAACCCACCTTGGTGATGGGAGCCTCTATCGTCATGGAGTGAATTCGGGCCATCGAGGAGTGTCTTCTCTGTGAGCTAGCTGTTGGGATGGAAGAGGGAAACGTCTTCAACGACAAAACAAGGAGCACATTTCCCAGCCATGCCCTAATTAACGCGTAGCGTGTATCCAAACAACGCGCAGCACAAACACAAACGGCTGGGCAGGTTTTCGTAAGCTGACAAGAAGCAGAGTGTTTCCATCATCCATCTCCCTTCACTCTCACCATCGCTCCCCCGAGACGTTATGGATTTGACATCCAGAGAGCCTTTCCTCCGGTCTTTGTGCTTACAGGATTGTATATCTGGAGGAGGGAACACACTTTGCATTATTTACATCAGCACACGTAGCTGATATGCTTTGTTTGCACATCACCATGTCTTTATATATCTGAGCAGGATTTAACCGGTTTTGTTTTTCTGTGTTGCTTCTCATAAGCTTGGTGTGAAGACGATTTCTGTGTACATATGGATAATACAAATAATTGTATTTTTTTTTTTTTTTTTGGCAAATGGCAGGGGCGACAAAATTCAAACAGAATAACTAAATCAAACTAAGCGAACCTGAAGTAAACTAGAAGGTTTTTGCTCCACGAGAACTCGGTGTTATTCCGTCTTGTGTCTTTAGAAATGACGAAAAACAGTTAACTACATATTTTTAATATATGGACACCAAACCTTTCAGACAAATGTTTTGTCAAAAAGTGCAGAGAACATTTATTTGTCCTGTTTATTGTTTTTTTTTTTAATTTGCAAAGAAAATTTAAGAAAAAAAAATTACCAGTCAGCATATTTATTTAGGGAAAACCTGTAAGTACAAAATCACTAGCATCCATGAAATAAATGTAAATGGTGCAAGAGGAGTTACTGTGAAGTACATTAAAAATTATGAAAAAATATATTTTGAAAACTTTATACAGCATTTACTGATTCAGATGAGTAAACTGTAGTTTACATTTTGTATTTCTGACAAACAGTTCTGCTGTAAAGAAAGTCTCACTCAACGCTTTTACAGAAAATGAGACTTTTCTTTGTTTTCTTGCACACTCAGACAATCCTTTTATGGACATCTGGCTTTTCATTAAAAAAAAAGGAACAGAAATGACAGTTTTGCGATTTGTTTATGGCATAATTAAAGCGTAAGCACTGAAAAAAAGTGCAAATTAAATTAAATGCTACAAAACATACGCTAACTGGGGACAAAATTAAAACAATAGGAATTAATATGACCAGCAGGATGTAGAGATTTTAGCAGGTGAGGTTTGAATTCTGATCCACCAATTCTGATCAGACACCACGAGGTGAAAAGGTGCCTCAGAGGAAACGCAGTGAGGTTTAATGCCGTGGGACAACATGCAAAGCTCCAGAAACAAACAGAGCAGAGCCGCTGACGCAAACCAACGAGAGATACCATCCCTGTTTACTGTTTACTTGACAGACGTCGAGCCGCAGTTTTGAAATCGGTCACAGCTACGGATTTTTTTTAAATTTGCATTTGAAGCCAACAGTGCAGCAGGGAACAATAGACAACATCGAAGTACTTTTTCCAAGGTCCACTAAAAGCGAGATTAAAGTTATTAAAAGGTTATTTCTCAGCAAGCTGAAACTGACATAACCACTGACTGTCATTTCTTACATGGTTTTAAACCCAGCGCAAGTAAGTGTATGCTAAATTATTTGATGGAAAACAACAATAAAAATGGTACTACAATCTCCAAAAATAAAAGAATAAATATGTCATCATCTAATCCTGCTGTACAAAAATGGAAATATTTTCAAGAAGAAATTGTGGCGTGAGCTTATATGTTTCGGTTTTCAAAGTTTCTGTAAATACAAAAATATATAACTTACTGATTCATTTTACATTTATTTATTTATTACATATTTAGGGGAAAAGTATTTATATATTATGTTTACTTTGTTTTTTTGTGGCATTTATTTATTAATTACATTGTGTAAATAAGAGGTGAACAGCTACCACAGAGAGCTTAGGAGAAGAAGTTAAAGGTCTTAAAAGTCTGATATTTATTAAAAAAAACCATATTAACTTAAGAATCTCACCTGTTTGTGACTCTGCCTGCACACGATCAGCGGATTTATCACTCTGTGCAGACAAATGAGAAACACACATTGACACATGCAAACAAAACAAACCCTTCTCATTGTTTAGCAAAAACCGCCAATCTCACCTTATTATTATCATTTAAAGGCCTGTTGATAGACACATAGTGTCTGATTTTTCTGTGGAGGACAAAGGCACAACGTTACATCCGCTAAAACAAAACGGTGTGATGAACGGAGGTGATTTATTCTCCAGCTCACTCACCCTCCCTGCCCAATCACAGGTGTGATTTTCACATTTTGCTGAATGTTGTCTCCATTCTTCTTTTTGGCATAATAAATCCCTTGCCACTCCTGGAACACAACACAACACAGCGGGCCGACGGACCCTTTGTAAGACACATCGGCTTGGCAACGTGCGATTGAAATAAAGAAAAAAAAAAACTGAAAAGTGAAAAGTTGAAAGTGTCCCGTTTGTGTGCAACAGGTGGTGAAGACGGAGAGCGGCTCAGAAAACGGCGACTCGCTTTAATGGGGAGAGCGAGCGCAACTGGAGTCCAGCGCGCTCGTTTCATGTCCACCCTCTCCCACCCGCAGATTAAAAAGACCCTTCCTGCTGTTAGGCTGTCCCGGATTGACCTTTGCGCTCTGTGTAGTGAGATTACTGCACATGAAACGGAGCTGCTGGATGACCAGCGGCGCAGGCCGACGGAGCACGTGCGCGCGGGGATGCGAATGTCTGGGGTGCTTACACAAGCGATGCGACTGCGAGGCAACGTGCGCCGGAGACGGCTACAATTACAAAGTGGGCTGATATGAAGGATGTGGAAGTGTGAAGAGCACACGTTACCTTTCCTTTTCGTATACAGGAGTTAATCGTTTCAAGGAGATCAGGCTTATTCTTCTCGCTTTTAGGCACTTCTATTATTTCCTTCCCTACTAGCTCGCCTTGTTGGTAGCCCATAATAGACTCGTAGGCAGGATTCACATACTGCAAAGGCAGGGAAAGAAAAGTGAGGAGTTCAGGCACAGTTAACTACTGTTTCTTAATTAACTGAAGAAAAGAAAGATACAAAAAAAAGAGACATTTTCAGCTCATTAGATCAAGAAGAAAACATCCTGAAAACACATGCTGCAGTGTTTTGGGAGCATTTAAATGACAGAATCTACTATTACTCCTGAATGAGATCCAAAGACATGAACAGGAGCTTAAAAAAAAAAGGGTCTGAGCAGAACAAAGGGAGAGAATGAAACGCACACACATGGTTGGAGGGGAAAACAAATGAAATAAATCCCCACCTGAATTACTTGATCTTCAGAAGTGATCTCGATGGCGTCTTGGCTTTGTTCCAGAGCTGTGAAAATGGCATTACTAGCCCTGGTAGAGAAAGAAAACAGCATCAAGACATTAATGTTAGATCATATTTTAAGACGTGAAGTTAGAATTATTCATACCTCTGGCGCATTTATGTTTTTTTTTTTTTTTTCAATTTAACCAAATAGTTGTTTGTGATGGGAAATGACAAGTGTACAAATGAGTATTAATTTTGTAAAAAAGAAAATACAAGTAAAATATTATTTCTGTTCTTCACAATATTCAATAAGAAAATCTATTTTGGTATTACATGCATGTCACCGTTCTTCTAGCTGCTGAGCAGCCGTTTACATGTTTCCACTGATATTTTAACCATTTCTCTTTGCCAAATGTTTTCAATTGAGCCAATCAGAAATACGGCAACTTCAATGCACAGCACTTGCAGCATTTGCATTATACTTACTGTAATCTTAAGGGATTCATTCAGCAGTATTATGCGTGTTAGAGTATAAAAAGAGTATCTTTGCAACTGCAGACTATTTTCTTTTGTCTGTGTGTGTCCAAGGATGTGGGGTTAGGAGGGGTGTGTGTGTGTGTGTGTGTGTGGGCAATGAGGTGTAGAAAGCTTAAACGTGATAAGCAAACTTCACCACTGATATAGAGCTCAACTACAATGTAGCGTAATTGGAGGCATGACTCACCTCAGTTTGAACTGTGCCCGCACCTCTCCGTGCTCCAGCTGTAGCAGCTCGTTGTAGCAGGCCATCAAATTGACATTTTCCACATACCTCTAAGGGTCAGAGCAGCACAGGCCAGTCAAAAGTGGATAAATAAAACCGACAATATGCGATGCTAATCCACGTATCGGCAAGTGGGTACATTCTCAAAACAAAACAAAAAACAAAAGGGTGGGGGTGGGGGAAGGAGCATCATCGATGTCTTTCATCTCCCATGGAAAAAAAAATAAAAATAAATCATCAGCTGCAAATCTGATGCTCATCAGTGGAAAACCAGGCAGAATAAAATACGCTGTGTCCTTTAAGCTTACCCTATTAAAGCCAGCATTGATCAGCGGCATCACAGAGGCTTCCTCTCTGTCTGGCCTTAGAAAAAAACAACAACAAAAAAAAACAACACGAAAAACACATGTTAGAAGCAAAACAGAACATGATAAATGCTTGTTTAGAGAACATCTGAGGGCTGCTGCAGATGACAGGCTGCAGACATACACACTACGTTTTCATCTTTTCTTTTTTTTCTTCCCAACATTTCCCCCCCCCTAATCACGAGCTACCAAAAGGGACAATAAAAAAAAAGGAAGAAGAAAACGAAGAGAGCAAACATGTACCTTTTCACGACGGCGACTATCACAGTGTTTTCTGAGGAGTTGACCGCCCTAAATGACCTGAATGTAAACAGAGGGAGCCTTTTTAGCAAGCGAGCGAGGCGGTTGGAAAAGCCTGTGGGATCAAATCAATGTATTTTCAGTTTTTCACGCTCCGATTCTCACAGGCAGGCAGAGTCCAGAGGTGGAGCTCTGCGAGCGGTGCCGAGGCCTCTGAAAGAATGCAGTGTACAGGGCCGCTCGTCCGGCTGCGGTTTCCCCCAGCCAGTGGCCATAAAGGCCCTTTAGTGCCCCCAACTAGAGCCTGAGCGTGTACACTGAACATATGGATCGGCCAAAAATGAATAGGGTTAACATACCGTCCGGGCATGGCAAATGAATGTTTGTAAATGCACTTTTGGTTTGCGCCTAGGCTAAAGATAGACGGTGGTACGGGCCAGGCACCGCTCGTTACTCGGCGACATAAATCCACAAGGTAGAGAGCGAAGAAAAGTCAGCCGGCCGTTCATCACAGATAATGAGAAGCACGGGCATGTGGACTGAAACTCGTAAAAAGTTGTGCTACAGCTGGTCCCTTCGAGGTCACCTGGCATGTGTTGGTTCACGGGCCCCAAATTCATTGAGCTGTAAAGTTGAGTTAGGAGTAGGGATACACCTTTGTTCACTTCTGATACCGATACAGAGGTTTAGTATCTTTAGTATCGGCCGACACTGAAAAACAGTGCTGGACTGACTTAAAAAGTTTCCTTTTTTAAAACAAACAAACAAACAAAAAAACATAAATATACTCAATCACAAATGTATTTGATAACTACACCAGTACAGAACGCTTAAATACACCAATTGATTCACAAGCTTGGTCAAACATGTAAAAACAACACAATGTTAATTTGTTCAATCAGTGCAATTAGCAGTAAACCAGCCAATGTAAAATAAATAATAAAGAACCTGAAACTGACAAAAGCAACAGTGTGACAACCTTTTTCAAATATGCATAAAAGAAACTGCAACAAACCTTTTTACTAATATGATACAGAAAGCGCAATTAGGAATTCTAAAATAACTTAGAATAAATAAAGCACGACATCGCTCGGAGCACAAAGCATAGATCTAGACTGAAAAGATCGGCCCTTATGGATCAGGCACATTGCTACCGACACCCAATATAGAATGATTTTTATTATCGGGATCAATACAGATATTAATATCAGATTGGTGCATTTCTATTTAGGATACGACTAAAGCTCATAAAAAAAACAAAAAAAAAAAAACAAAGGAAATAATTCCCAGAATTCAATTTTGTTTTCAATATTTTCCTTCTATTAGCTGAATAACACCATCATCATAGTTATAAAAATTAAATAAATTATCACAAATGATACAACTCGGTTGAATGTAAACTTGAATAAATCTTTCCGATGTCCTTCTTTAAAAAAACCCACAAATATTCTTGACAATATCGGCTTTTATTTGATTAAACCAGAGGCGTGCAGTTCAAAGGCGTCAGGTTTAAAAGATGCTTAATTACAGCAGAGATAAGAGAGAGCTTGCCTTACCGGCACAGTGCTTCAGCGTCAAAGTGTCTGGAATGTCTGTGGTCAATGATGACGAGGTCGTGATGCTTCTCTGAGAAGCATTCGAGAGCGTATTCAGGCGTCCGCACCATGCTGCACCTGTAGTTGGCCTTCTCACACGCCCAGCAGAAGCCATTGCTTTGACTGTCCTCTTTGGCAAAAACTAAAAGTACCTGGAAGACAAGGAAATGACAGAGGAGATGCGGATTAAATGTGAGTTTATTTATTTAAATAAGATTTCCTGCAAGTTCTGACCTATTTTTTTTTTTAGAAAGGCTTCCACAAAGACATGCATCTTTCCCATTTATTGCAACACCTTGCAAAAAAGGCCCTAATCCGTGTCTTTTATTTAACTGCAGTAGCTACATCTCATACTGAAAGATCCCAGCCTTTCAATGTCAGTCAGTCTTTTTAGAACGGGAGAGGGGGACGGGCGGGGGGTGGGGGGGACACATTTATTTTATTTATTCTATTTTTGTTGTCGTTTATTTTACTTTATTGATTTTAGTTTGCTAGAACTGCTGGCCCTTCTAATAACTTATGTAAAATCAAAAAATTTGCATAGAGTTTGGATATAACTTGAAAGTTTCTTGCATGTAATATTTAAAATTCATAATAATAAGAGAACATTCAAAGTCAGATTTGTGTTGATCTTCTTAAGTCAGGAAATGGCAATAGGTCAAGGCATAATTAAAACATTACTACCATTAAATCAACCTTATTATCTAGATATTGTTGTGAAAAGATAAGCATTATACGTGTTATAGTTGATCATAATATAAGCAAGGCCATGTAAACATGTAGTCATTTATTTCACAGTAGTTTAAGCTGTACTATGAAAATGCCAAATCTGTTGAAAAAGCACATTGAAAAAAACTAATCAAAAGTAGGCCATAGTGTCATTAAAATGAAAAAGTAAATAAATAAGTTCAAATAAATAAATAAAAACAATGACTGTAAAATAGGAAAAAAAATATTTGCACATAGTCACGCAAAAAAAATAAAATAAAATAAAATAAAAAATTAGGATGCGCTATGACAGCATGTGTGTTTTTAAAACATTTCTGGACATATGTTAAAATAACTACAATCACACACATGTATCACATCAGGGCCATATGATTAAAAAAATCATTACTTTGTCTTATATACAGTTTAAGAACTGTTGTCTGTAAATCAGACAATTAGACAGTAAAACTGATTGCTGGATCTCAATTCAACAATCAGTTTGATGATCTTGACTGAAAGGTGAAAGTGTCATGGTTTGGAGATTTTCATCAACAACAGGAGGTTGATTGAGTGCACTGACTGAGTCCACCAAAATGTATGCATCGTATCCGATCGTGGTTGGGGAAAATATAATAGTACATAGTAACGTCTCTTTAACACGCTGAACTGACGCTTTGGAGAACAGTGGGGATATGCAGAAATAATAATGAGTTTTATTTCCACTTGACTTAGAAATGAACAAGTTCAAAGTTAGAGAAATTTAATAAAAAATAAAATCTAGGCTTATAACCAGTACGGCTTGTGCATGTCTAAAACACACTCAATATTAAACAAGAGGAGCACACCGACGTCTTTACAGTCTCCGTTTCTGAGCAAGATCCTTAAGAGTTTAAATCCACAAAATGAAGATAAATATATGTTGGTATTGGCTCATATTGTTAATGGCAGCAAGAACCACAACAATTAAATCCCAGTGGTTTTCCCACAAGCAACAGGACAAAGGCGTCATGAGCTATTCTGTGTTTCTGGGACAACCAAGGCCAAAACCTCTCCATGTTAGTATGGATCCCTGTAAGTCCAAGAGAAACTGGCTGGTTGACTAGTGTGTTCCTAAAAATAGGAAGCCAAAAAAAAAAAAAAAAAAAAAAAAACTCCTTCAAAATTATATTTAGTATATATATACATGCATTTTATCTCCAGGCAGCTAGGATTTTCACCAACGCATACAGCTTTAATTTGGCCCTAACTAAAGACCAACACAATCGGCAACAATAGAGAAGTCAATTATTTCATTCAAGGTAGCAGGAGAAAGAACAAAGTTCCTCCTCCAACGATATTTCATACTTCAAAATACCTCAAGGGCAGAATGTGGCTTGTATGGAAGACTGGCAAGTTTGTTGCATTGTTGAAAGAAAGCCAGAGGAGTTCCCTCCAAGGTATGTAAGAGACTCAGAAAACAATGAAGGACAACCAATGACAAATTATCAAGCCGTGTCAGGTATTTTCTGGGTATTTCATGTTTTGTGGCTGCTGCTGGCACTAATTCCCCATTTTCTTCCTACTTGACTTGACCCTGAGCACTTTCAATACCCTCATTCGCATAGTTTAATCTGACATTTTACAGTGTGACAAGGGTTATGCATAGACGGCACAGTATGAAATGCTAAATGTCCTGTACGATCTTTACAAATCGCACATTGTGGGCGTGGCCAGACATTCTGAACGCGTCATCTACTCCGTGAAAAATCGACGCGATAAACACAATCCTCACAGTGACACGGAGGTGGGAGCATCGTACTGTGGGGATAATTTTCTTCAGCTGGACAGTGAAGACCATCAGGATGGAGCAAATTACAGGGTAAATCTGTAATGAAATCTGTAAGAAGCTGTAAAAGACGAAGCAAGGAGGCAGAAGTACAATGAAAGTTTAGACTGACGCGTTTTCAGGTCTTAGAAAGACTTCAACCTTAGTCTAAGTAAGAGTCTCGGGCAAGACTTTAAAAGAGCTGATCACAGATGTTCACCATCCAATCAAAATCTGATCTTAACCCATTTTGAGAAGAAAAACAGGCAAATATTTTAGTCTCCAGATGCCCAAAGTTTATAGAGAGGTATACCAAAAGACTCGCAGCTGAAATTGCAGGAAAAAATGCCTCAACTCACTTAAATTAGGAGGCTGCAGATAAATAATGGTCACATTTTTCGATTTCTATCACCAAAAGACTCAGAAAACCACGCTCACCCTTCTAGTTCAAAGTTCATTGCTCAGATTTGAAGATTTTTTTTGTTGTCGCTTTCACTTGTAAAATGACTTGTCTAAATCACTTACTGAATGTGTGGTAATCTGATCTCATGGTTTGATTAGCCGAGATGACTATGTGCAGCTCGCAGCTGCTGCGTTCCTGCTCGTTTGCGCCCGTCATTCTATAATCAGCCTACGGTTTGACCCGCAGGCCCGTGGTGAACGGCCCCAGATTGATTGGGCTTAGCTCTTATTCCTGTGCGTCACAAGTTTTATAGTCCGCCGTGATGATCTACGGCACAATTAGTCGAGGCGGCCTTGACTGGCTGCAGCCCCCCTTCCCCCACCCTCACGCCAACAGGTCTAAACCAAGGCTACGTCTGAAAGTGCTGCTGCAGCTACCATCAAGCCAGCCATTGAGAGCGAGCTCCCTCTCTGCCACCACGCTTCCAAGCAACCCCCACTTCCACTCCCACTCCGCCCCCAACCCCCTCCATCTCTCCCTCTGCCTTCCCTTCACTTGCGTAAATACTGGACAGGAGATTTAGGCCCGCCTCCCGGAGCGGTGCTGCACTAAGAGTAGATTCATGAGTCACTCTCTCAAACAGACGTCATCTCCGACTGTTGGCAGGCAGCAGAGTGAATGTAAAGAAGAGGAAGCTTGTTCTGCACGTTTCAAGTTTGCGTCGCACCTGTGATGTTGAGTCAGGACAGAGGGGGACCAGGCAATTTCAGCTCGACCGACGTAGCATTTAGCTCAAAGTCGACAGAAGCAGCGAATGCATGTGTCTGACGGAGGTGTTGCAAATGTAAACCATATTCCGCATACTGTAGGAGTACTTTCCCTGCAAGCAGCAATACATGCACAGATAGTAAATAAATCACCTCAGATTCCTGCAACTATGTTTGGTACGCACGGGGGAATTAGATCAGAATTCCACATTGGGATGTTGGGAGGAGAGTCAACATTCCCCCAGAAGTGGTGGACCTGGGCACTGAGGCCAAGATCAGATCAGACAGATTCACCGTGTTTTAACGTGAACATATATATGCTTTTCTAACTTTCAAAAGGCACACTGAAGGAGAAAAGTGCTCAAGAGCGAGGAAAAGTCACAGAAAGAGAAGGATGGTGAGCATATGGCAGCACCTGATTATGCCGCTCAGACAACATTGCGGCTGAAAAGAGGCATAAGGGCCAGCCTGATCCTGTGAGGCGAGAGAAACGAGGAGGAGGGCACGACAGGATCAGCTGTGAGTGACAAAAACAGGAAGGGGATATCTCTCTACCTCGTTTTCCTACCGTGGCCAAACTCAAGTGCATCAAACAATGAGGCCGAGTCTGTGCACTCACAATACACGGAGCGTTAATTCAGATGGTTTCATTCTTAAGAACCCCACCAGCTGTGCTGGAGTGACAATGATCAGAGTTTAAAACTAGCTGTTTTATCCCACCCACCCCTAGTAAACTATCAAAAAGAAAAGAAGGCTCCAAAATGGGGGAAAAAATCCTTTTATAACCTCATTCACATGACAAAGACAAGTACATTTTTACATTTTAACCTTAGAAATTTTAGGTAGAAACTTCTAATATATTCCTGAACCAAGGATTAATGGGAAATATTTCCTACGAATTTGGGATTTTCCCGTTTTCACACACAGCAGAAGCGGGACATGCCGCTGGAACAAACTGTATCTTTAGAGAACGTCAGAGAAGATCCAGCCTGCGGTGACGAAACTGCTGATCCTCTCCAGTTCTCCAGAATGTGTATTGTTCATTATGGTATGTTCCCAGTCTCAAATATTTGGCCCCGTTGCCTTGACAGCGCCAATGCTGCGTGGCACACAACACGTCCATTAACGGCCGAGCTTCCCTTCTCTTCGGTGAATGCTTGTGTGTTCCTTAGAGAGGTGTGGCATTTTGAAGATATTCGAGATTTATTGTAACGCCAAACAAAAGCTGTTTTTCAGTGCTAATCCTTAAAGAAACACAACAAAGTACTGACAGCCACACCAAGTTTAGCTCTAATGCTCAGCAATCGGCTGCTGATGGATGCAGGCATAAACCATCGACTGGAGCACTCCTGGTGTTGCGCTTCAGGCTTGCGTGCATTAAACACATGTCGAGCATCGTTTTACGGTACCTGAAGTGGGTCTTTAAATAGCTTCATTGGTCCAAACTGCACCTCTGTTAATGTGGTCTGAAAAATAAGAAGAATAGAAGAGTTAGAAACAAAACAGCTGAGAAATTTCACACGAAATGTCTTCTTGTATTAGCTTAGAGGTCGTCTGGAGTTTACAAATCACAATGACAAGAAAACATTCCCTTTCTCCTGGCCTGTGTAAAATCTGGAAAAAGGTGAAGGGAAGCAAATTGCGTAAAACACAGACAAACAGGAAATATAGTTTAATTTTCTTTTGACTGACAGAAAATTCTAACTTAGATGGAATTTGAGATGATTACTGCTGATTTCACTAAACATGCAAACGGAAGAGATACCCAGTTAAACAGCTGGGTTCGATGACATTAAATACAGATGAGATATGATGCACAGGAAAAAAAAACAACTGTTGTCTGTCTTGAATGTATCAGGTGCAAAAAGGTGTGCAAAGACTAAAAAAAGTGAGCAAAAGCTGTTGCACATTTTTAGCAGCTATTTTAGATGCTCACACATTCTCTTTTGGGCCAGACTCAAAACTGATGAACAAAGTTCAAATTAACTTAACGCCGTCTTATTGTTAATCACAGTAATGCCTCTAAATTGCTACCTTTAAGTTGAATTTCGCACCCCCAATTTCTTTGTACTTTGTTCTGTTGTTTGTTTTTCTCAAAAACTTTGCATGCAGGTAAAAAAAAAAAAACTTCTCATTTGAAGCTATCAAAAAATTGGTGCAGCTTTTTAAATCCAAATAAAAATTGCCTAACACCGTCACTGGGTTCCATGTTTTTATCCATGGGAAGTAGCTTGTCGTGTCTAATTTTTGTTCTGTTATTTCAACTTAAGTCATTGAGCAAACAGAGAGAGTTTTCGAGGAAGATTGTGTGAGTAATCATCTCAGCCTTAAGACTGTTGGCCTTTACAATGCAAACAGCCAAGTTTGCCCTTCATCCAACAAAATAATTTGTCAAGAGCTCCAAACCCAACCTAGTCCTTGTTTATGTCCTTCTGTCTAGAAATGGTAAAGTTATGGTTAAATTAAAGAGCGACCATCTTGTTTCTATTTTTAGGTATTCGACTACAGAAAACAACCCAAGCTTTGCGAAAAAAAAAAAAAAAACCCAGAATGAATAAATTATATTAAATTCCGAATTTATGTAAAATGAAGGAGAAAAAAAAACATATTGTAGTCATAACCCAAATGGCATGGATGTTCCCATTGTGGGTATTAATGCATTTTAAGGTAGATCTGGTATTGGAACGGTTAAAATAATTAGCTGCATATATTAAAATAGGCAAGCTGTAAGCAACAAACTGTCTAAAGTTCTGATTTAAAATTGGTCTTTGCTACGTTAATAACCTTCAGTGACGATCACCTGAACAGCAGCCGAAATACACCTGAATCATTAAATTTTTTTTCTTTGTTGATTGTTTTTTTTCCCCCTTTGGTTTTTGATAGTCTACTGTTTTCTGCTGTATGATGTTCTAATGTTTTCTGAGGAGGTTGTCGAAATGACAATTTGCTCTCAACATACTTAAATAAAGGTTAAATAAAATAATTAAAAAAAATAAAAATAAAGCATCAACCAAATCTCTTCTATTAAAACAAGTATAAAAAGAAGCAAAAGTCAAAATATGAAAGAAATCTGAAATCTTGAAGAAATAATCAACACATTAAAATATTACACAGGGATGTCTAGTGTACTAGAACTAAGAGTATTTAAGAAATCTTTACTTATATAAGACATTACCAAATAAAGCAGTCATTGCATTCTCGTATTCTCTCAAAAAACAAACAAAAGCTTTATGAAAATCCAATGACTTTGTGAGCTCTCCTTCTATCACACAGACATACGCAGTAGCTGCTTTCTACACCATTCAGCTGATAAAAAAAAAAAAAAGAAAACTGACAAGTAAACTGCGTGAACAGAGGTGAAATCTTGCTGAAGCCCAAAGAAATGCTGGATCCTTGTATTCATCCTCTAAAAGTGACTTTGAGTTGCATTACCCACTGAAACCTTCCAGCAGAGACACAAACGCACACCCATGGCAACTGCACTCCCAGACGGCAGTGAAGCAGAGTTACACATTCAACATCACACTGAGGAACAGAACAAAGAGTCCAAATCTACGACCCAGACTCAAAACTCAAGCACAGTTCACTTAGGAGTGCTTCACAATTCTTTGATTAAGACAACTAAAAAAAAGATGTGTAAATGTTACTCTTGGAGGGGTGTTTTTCACTTGTACATTATATAATATTTCATATTACTTAATCACCATTGCACACTGCATTCGTATAGAAAATAAAAACACTGTAACAAGCCTTTAATTTATTTTAACCTCATGAAAACAAATTACTTTATGAAAAATATATATATATTATTTAATTCTGCCTTTTAAATGCTACAAATTATAATACTGAAGCCAAAGGATCCCCGTTTTCAAAGGTAACATCAAAATGACGCCGACACTCAATCAGCACATCCCTGATTGGGTGGCCACCATTTCTTAAAGTAACAGCATTCCAATTTCTTTTCACTGCACAAATGACAACAGACAAATAGAGAAAACGCACACAAATTTCTAACTGATTTGACTTTCCCTTCATAAGAACAATTTTATTCTGTCAGCATCTGATCTGGCTTCCTTCCTCCTAAACGGAACCCGGCTCAGGGGTTAGTAACCATCGCAACCAAATCCCCTCATGGGCCACCGTCCCTCCAGAATTCCTCGTCTCCGTAAACAATCTACACATGTGAGGGGGAGCGCAGAGAGGAATTTCAGAGCGTTCCAGGGCCGCAGCAAATCGGTTCTTGCTAAATTGTAAGCCTTTAGAAAGCTCTGTGAAACAACAAAGAGGCGGTGGGGGAAAGGGTGGGCAGGGAGCAGGGGTGGCGGGGCAGATTAGCCCTCGGTTGTAGCCAAATTTACGTCATCTTGACACAGGGCTGTTTGTTGAAGTTGTCTTCAAACAAGGAGGTTGGAATCAGGATGGCTACAAGCTGGTGCTCGGAGATCATCTGATGTTCGAACAGACTCGAGGACCTGGTCGCATGATAGCCTCATGTTTGTGGAAGAGATGCCACAAGTGTTGGAAAAATGGCAACGATGGGAATGAAACAGAAATGATGTGGAGGAAAATTCCACACGAAGAACTTGACTAGGAGAACCTGGTGTCCTTTCCAAAACTATAGTGATGAATGTTTGAGTTTTGCTTCAGTGATAATGAAAGAATCCAATTGTTTGTAACACTGCGTCTTACAAGAGATGAGATTATTTGGTTCTTCATTCAAGTTTAAGTTCAGCCCTGAAAAACTTTAATCTGCCTAAAAGTCTGCTATTTTGGCTCTTGATTCTTTGGTCTATGAGTTTTTGATTTGCTGCCAGCAGCACCTCCAAGCTTGTTCTGGTGTCCTCTCGCCAAGCTCTGGGTCTGCCCCAAGGTCTTGGTTCCAGTAAAACATACGTAGAATACTTTCAAAGAGAAACAATTATGATTCCGCATCATGCCAGGAAGTGTTTGGTGAAGGCAGTGTGATGGGTGTGGAGCCAAGATTCATAATCATTTAAGGCAGTTTCATGGAAAAGTTGATATCAATATGAAATTTTGCCACTGGTTATAATTCCTTCTCTCTCCTCTTATGGACCAACTCCATCTTCCAAGATGCCAATAATCAGAGACTCACATGGTACGGCCATCTTACAGATCTGACCTTAATCCTATTGAACACTTAAGTTGGTGTTATCCTGGTTTTCATGGCAGACTGACCAACAAAACCGCTTTCTCTGACTGAGTAATGATATACCATCCCAGCACTGTGTGACCAAGCATGAGAGGAAGTACCAGACTGTTGTGGATGTGTATGGTTCTTCAACACACTGAAGAGACACCTATTTGCTAACTGAATAAATCGTTAAATTGCCAATGTGTTTGGTCTCCACTAACCTCAATCATCCAAGTCAAACTGTACAAAGCAAGAATCAGCAGCAGAATAAACTGTTTTGCCTTGGAAGAGAGATTATGACAAGACTTTCAACCCACATAAATAAATGTATCCATATAAGTTTATTTATGTGGCATCATTTAAGAGGGAACAAAAGTTGTGTTTTGAATCATTCAGCTTGATTAATTTGTTACATATGAGTAAATACAGTAAGCTTTTTCAGAAAAAGAGTGACCCCAAACTGTTTTTTTATTGGAGAGAGCCAGTAAATTATTTCCTTTTATAATTTCCTGTTTTTCTCTCTCAATCAAGCCCAGATGAATTTGCTAACTGAATACTTTCTCTTAATAAAGACAGATTAAGTTTTGAATCTGCAATGATTTACACTTCCCTTTCCTACAAAGTTGACATTTAATAATAAAATCTGATCGTTTCTGTGTTCGTTCATCTTTTTTCACGGAACAAGTTGTGGCTACCTGGAAGTGTCAGCTAAACTGGCTATCTTATGCCGATATCTTCAGTGAACAAAATAAAATAAAATAAAGTTCTGACCTTCTTAATTTATTCAGACTCAACAAATAGCTTTGTGGTCCCAAAACACTGTATCCAGGCAACTTTTGCAAGTAGTGCTCACACAGAAAAATATCATGTAAAAGCTGCATGTCGGGGGAGTTGGTGGAGGACGGGACCTTGACATATTGAGTTTGGCCACAAAGCCTCCAGCTAACTTCAGCCTAGCAAAAGCAGTGCACACAACACATTACCGTCTCCATGCAGGAAGACTACTCTCTCTGACTGACGAATACACAGCCAATCCAACTGCAACGGAGGTTGTGTAACTTGTATAGCAGGCTTGAGACGCACACAAACTCGCTCACACAAAAAAACGGAGCTAAAGTAGTCTGCTGTCGTCGTAGGGGAACATACAGTACACACACACACACACACACACACACTGCAATGAATCATTCAGCCAGGCTTTTGCTGTCCAGCATTCAACTAGAGGCAAAACCAAGCAAGGAAAGTGAGAGAGCAAGTAGGCTATGGAGAAGCACAGACATGGTGTGGATGCCAACGTAATCCCTGTTCCATCCT